AAGTCTCATAACTGTTTTCTTCTTCCAGGACTTGATTAATTTGTGGTCTTATTGCTGCAACTAACAATTATTGCCACTTATACTGAGTGGTTTTTTTTCCCATGTAGTCACTTGTATATTATCTTAGACCTATTGTAAACTAATTCCTTGCAGGCCATAAAACTGTCATCATAAGGAAATGCATTTGATTGCTATGGGTCACATCAGAAATAACAATCTACTGCTACAATCTTACCAATTCTCAAGTATTCAATGGCCCTACCCTATCTCCAACTGTATTATAAAACTCTATTATATGTGCTGCATTAAAAGAACCCAAACCATTAAATTAGATACAGAAAAATAGTTCTGTCTTTTTTTTTTTTAATATATTATGGGATGAATGATACAGTGTTCATATATTTTTCAACTGATAGAGTCATGGGACCCAGATCTCATAAACAGATTAGGGGCATTTCAGAGGAGACAACAGGGGTGGCAATGAAACAATAAAACACAACAGTGGATGGCTTTCAAGGCATGAGTGCTGACAAGTCTACATGGAAGTTGTTCTGCTAGCTAGCATATGAACCTTTCAATCAGCAGAAATGAAGTGCACTACAGAAATGGACGAAGACTAATTCTTCTGACCAAATGCCAGAAGGAAAGGAGTACACAGGATAGCTGCTTTGATCCCTGGCATGTCCCAAAGTGTCAGAATAAGTAGGTTGCTAATTGGTATTGGAAAAAACAGTGAGCATGTTGTATTTTATTAACCTGCTAAAACAGGCAAATCCTAAACAGCCAGGACCAGGTGAAAACTATGATAGACTAAGCTTGTCAAGATTTTGATACTTAAGAATACAAGGAGAAAAAAACAATTTTCTGTCACTTTGAAGGCTAGCTCACTGGAATTATTTCTTATGGTGGTGTATAACATCGCCTAAATGTAGAGAACAGGGATTTAGGCAGGCTGAAAAGAAGGCAGCTATAACAGTGAACCAGGTGCAGCCTAAGTGAGGACAAATGAGGGCAGGACAAAGTTGGTTGCAGACACTTCTGGTGTCAGACCCACCATAGGTCATAGCTAAGCCCCACAGCCCTGCTGGAAGCCCCTCTGTGAAAATGAATTTAAGAATGAGAAAAACCCACCACTCAGGAAGAGAAGGAGGGAACAAAAATAATGAACATCTAAGTCAGAGAAGTGAGGCAGAAATGCTTAAGGCACTGGATTAGGTATTTCCTCATAGCACAGAGAGAGGACTATTCTGGGGCATACCCACATCATATTCCATGAAGGAGCCTATTCCAGAGCAGGTCCAGGAAATCCTTCAAGATAGTTCCTGAAGGAATTAAAGTCCATGGAGAATCTACACTGAAGCAGATATTCTTGAAAGATGGCAGCCCACATGGAAAGCCCACAGTGATGCAGGGAAACAGCATGAGGATGTAGGAACAGAAAAGAGGAGTTGGTGTGCACTGACTGCAAACCGCTGTGCCTCACAGCATGAGCAGGGCAGTCACAAGTGAAGCTGAGACTAAAAGGCAGGGTAATGCTAATTTCTAAATTGTTTCTATCTCTCCAAATCTACTTCAAAAAAGAAATTAAAATAGTTTCCCAAAGTAAGATGGTTTATCTGTGATGATGAATATTATGCAATGTCTCTACCTAGATCTCAAGACATGAGCTTTCTCATCCTGTTTCATTCCCCTGCTCTCTTGAGGAGGACTGAGAGAGCATCTGGGTGGGCCTATGGCTGCTGGCCACGGTTAGCCCAAAAAAAGCATTCAAACTGAGAAGCAATAAAAGATTTTAGAAGAGATAGTGTAAAATTATTTCTTCCTCTGATGGGATTACAGGATCACAGAATATTCTGAGCTGGAAAGGACCCACAAAGATCATGAAGTCCACTCTTAAATAACTGGTCCATACAGGAATTGAACCCACAACCTTGGTATTACTACCATACCTAACAGATGATTAACTACACATGTTAAAGAATCTTGTCATAGAAATTAATAGATTTAATGTCTCTTATACCATTTATACAACCAGAATATTAAGAAATAAAGAAGAAATTAGTAATGGAATACAGTTTACCAGTAATGAATTACAGTTTCCCATTTACAGCAAGCATAACAAGGGTTTATTATATAACAAAAATAACTTCAACTTTTTGAGGGGAAAGTGTTTCATGAAACAACTTATTTTTCATACATAAAAAAAGAACTGCCCATGGATTTTAAAGTAAGATACGTTCTTAAATTATTTTTCTTTTTATTAGAAGACATTTTAAGAAAACCCTTTATGTTTGAACTTCAAGTAGATGGAATTTCCTTGCATCACTCTTTCAGTAAAATTTTATTCATTTCTGTTTTTATTTTGCTATTACCTTCTAGTCATCTTCAGTATTTTGAGAATAAAACTGAACCAAACCATAATCCTTTTGAGGTCTCTGTTCTTGGTGATATTCTGTTTTGATTTTTTATATTTCTTAAAACATTCACTTCACATTTAGGTATTTGTCCATAATATTTAGATGGTATAAGATGAAGAAAGATCTCTTATTTGATCAGGAACTTCTGTGGAAATAATTCAGCTCCAGGAGTAGGATAAAGATAGCTAATATGACATGACTCAGGGTAAGACAAAAAATAACCTTCTAAAGAACTTCTTGTAATTTATGAAGGACATGAAACTAGTTGTTAAAAACATTTTCTCTCTTAGTATAGCCAGTGCTCACATTCTTCAACAGTTATGCTTCATAAATATTCATGAAGGTTAAAAAGGTAGCTCCACAATGGTCTTGAAAGAATCATTCTGGGCACAAGCATGCCCAAGCACTTTCTGTCAAAGTCAAATTTTGATACTAGATGTTCCATCCATCCAGTCACAGTGCAGAGCAGAAAGTAGTGTAAATGATCCCTGGTCTAGTGGTATATTAGAAGTATGCCAGAGATTGTTTCCCTCAGCTCTTTCTCTTACTTTTGTTTGCTGAATGTTACACCCCAGTATATCCAAAGGCAGATGATCTAGTATCTACACTTCTAACTTCTGGAATTCTTGTAGGGATAGAATATGGAGAGGAATGAGGCTACTTTAATGGATCAGAGTATACTGTCTTATCTTGAGTCTAGCTAAGATTACTAAGGATGTCTGGAAAATCCCTCTGAGATCTGTAAGTAAAAATTTAGCATTATGAATTAATAATACAGATCCTGAAGTGATATAGTGGAATTTTGTGGATATTTGCTCATGAATACATCAACACAGAAATATCAAAACCTTCAATTTCAAACTCAATTTCAAACAAAGTAAAGCTGCGGTTAGTAGCAGTACTTGTCCAACTTCAGTTGATTCTGAACTTTACCCATTTTCTTTTGATTTCTTTCTTAAAACAAAAGTAAATCCCAGAATTTCTAGTGGAGAAAGAAGGGTTTATGGTTCCTTTACTAGTACCTAATCCATTTCTTCATGTACTCATTTTTTACTGTGTGAGAAACCCTTTAAGACCAACAGTGTAAACTTTATAGTTTACACATATTCATTAATGCTAAGTAATTAGTTACCATTATGATGTAGGATTTACATTTCAGATACATCCAAAACAAAATCAATAATCTCTCTTTGTTTTTCTAGGAGAAATAGTATGTCAAATTTTGAATGATTTGCAATCAATTTTTTTAGTTCCTGCAGAAAGGAGCATCCTGACATTTCTAATTCTTATGTTTTCCTCATTCCTTAGGTTGACAAACCAGAAAGGATAAATTAATTGCTACTCACTAACGTGCTATGTGGGCCTACCAACTATGTACATCAAGAATTAAGAAGCAATATGGCAACTAAAATTTTCAGAAAAAATATGGCTGTTTCTCAATCAATTCACTGCATCAGGTTAATAAGTACCAAGAATGTGGCCTTCTCTATAGACTTTCCCCAAACACTCCAATCCTTCAATCCTTCAATTTAATGCACATAATGGCATTGCTTTCAAAACCAAAATGTAACCTTGCAATCTCAGACAATAAATTCTGAATGCCACAGACATGTATGTCTTACTGCAAAACACAACACTTTCTGCATGACATGAGATGTTAAGCTTAAAACAAGCCAGTACGAAACAGGTGGGGGCAAAAAAGCCAGACAGTCTGTACTAACAGTTTGCTGCAGCTGAAACACACAGTTTTAGGTTCTGTCACTTTCTTGAACATTAAAGGAAAGAAAGACTTTAAAAAATATCAGAAAATTAAATTAGTTCTGGTGAACACAGAAACTAAAATGAAGAATAGATTCCCATGTTGCTGTGACTTCAAGATGTGATAAGGGAAATTAACACTCCAAGGCAATAAAAACAGTTATTTTGCTTTGTGTTGCTCTAGACTAAAAACAGTTATAAAACAATCAACAACTAGAGCTACAGTTAAAACCAGTCCTTTTGCCTAAATAATTAATATACAAGCTTTACTGGACTTTCAAATAATGCTATACCAGGGCAAAACTGTGCAAGTAAAAGAGAACACTTAAGATTATTTATCAATTTGAAAATTGTCTTTAAAATATCATGAAAGTTTCTGACTACAGGTTGCATCTTACTGTCTTTTCCTTGTGTTTTATCATATATCAAAGACTAAAGTAGCATGCACAAAGCTGTATGTTTTATGGCTACCATGCATGTGACATCACCAGATGACTTCTGACTTACTCCATAGAAATTATCAGCTGTTTGGATGTTCAATTGTCTTCACTTGGTAACTAGAAATAGTGGTCTCAGTGATTAAGGGAAAAAAAGTGGATTTTGTAGAAAGTTTTGTAATAAGAAATAAGAAGTTTGTGTACTTCAAAATTGTATTTTATTTCACTAAAAATGAACATTTTTTTAGGATGAAAGAAGTTGAAGGTAGAAATAAACTCTAGGAAATGGAAGTCACCTTACAACTTCTCTCCTTCCCTGAGCAAAAGCAGTGGTAAAACTTTGATATGTTTAGAAATACAAATCAGAAGAATAACTTTAAATTCTTACCTTATGAAGAGTGTCATCCACAGCTTTCATATGACTAATGATCAATTCTCTGTCTCTATTACAAGACCAAAAAAAAAAAGAGGTAGATCACAGAACTGAAAACTCACCTGATTTAGAAATTAATTTTCTGCTACTTTTTAACTATTATGTTTTTACAAATAATTTTTGATAACTCAAAGTATTATGGTTTTGTCTCTCCTTTTTATATCCCCAATGCAAACCTTAAAAAATAGTTCATGTACCACACTATTTGGAATATTTCCATATGAAATTTTCTTCTATTGTGGACTATCAATTAAACTAGCTGTAATTATGGACATATTCATGAACAACTATAATTTTCTTGGAGAGTTTTAGATGTAAAAGGCATGTTGAATGGAGTCTTCTAGCAGGAAGAGAATACATTCTCTTACATTTCCAAAGTAGGCTTGGAGAATGAAACAATTCTCTAATGCCCTTTTGTAGATTAGGGCTTCAGTAAAAAAGACAGCTCTCATCAGCTAGGCTGTCATGAAAAACCTTGGCCTCAACTCATGATTGACAGAAATAGAACTGAAGTTGCATAATACCATATGACTAAAGAGAAAAGAGATCATGACCATAGGAAGTCAAATAGAATCCATGCCAGAAAAGCTAATAAACCTCAGCATTCCACGACTGTCTCTTATTTTGCCACCTATGTGTATATTTTGTTTGAGCTCTTACAATACCAGAATCCATAGAATCAGTATGATTTACGTTGGAAAAGACCCTTAAGATCACTGAGTTCAATCATTATCCCAGCACTGCCCAGCCCACCACTAAACTGGTCTCCAAGGGCTGTATTTTTTAAATACCTCCAGATCTACAACTTCCCTGGGCAGTTTGTTCCAATGCTTGACAACCCTTTCAGGGGAGAATCTTTTCCTAATATCCAATATAAACCTCTGCTGGCACAACTGAGGCCATTTCCTCTTGTCTTAGCAGTTGTTACTTGGCGGAACAGTCCAAGCCCTATGTCACTACAACCTCCTTTCAGGTAGCTATAGAGAACAATAAGGTCTGCCCTCAGCTTCTTCTTCTTCAGTCAAAATCATGGCATTCTTCCCCACGGAATGATGGCTGCTTTCTCATTTCTTGATTCATACTATCTTAACAGAAATAAGAGGAAGGTGGCCAGAAGAGTAGAATTGGGTTTTACATTCCTAATAAAGCCACATAGACTTTTCTATATTCAGGATCTAGTCTTCTTTGGACTAGATTGACAGGGCACTTGGTTGCTGGCTGGGGTTAAACCACAACACAGAGAAATTACCAAAATAATAGTGTATTTTTGTCAGGTTCACTGTTTCAGACACTTTCATTAATATTGCTTTTTACTCAGGAGGACAGTGGAATGAACTGCTAGCCACCGCTAAAAGAAAATCAGGAAAATTCTCAGAACAAGACAGACATCTTGCTGTCTTTTACAACACTACAAAAACTTGGGAAAGAAACTGAAAGATACCCATGCATTGCCTACAATCACTTAGGTAATGGAATGGATATTAAAATAAGAGTTTCAGGGTAAGACCAAAGTATATTTACCAACTTTGCTTACATGTTCCAAAGGAAGAAAAAGACACTTGCACACAGAAAAAGAAGAATTGGTAGAACAATGAAGTTTTCACATTAAGAAAACCTTTTCTGAATATAAGAATGGCCATAGGGAATGATCCTTACTGGAGTGCATAAAATAGCTTGGGGCAGGGTGAAAAGGATAAGGCTTTTAAGAACAAATCCTTCTTTGGGTCATAATCTGCTTTGATACACTTATACTAAATAATATTTGTCATTCTAATTAGCTTGTTAAACATATCACTGATAACTATATTAATTACATAATTTTGCTGGTGCATAAGCCCCTTAAAGCCTCTAAGCTATTGTTCTTCATAGGTCAAATCTACCCCAGGTATAATAAGAAATTTTAATTTGAAATTGAACTTTTTAAAAATCTTGGCCATGGACCAATAATATTCAAAGTGCATACTATTGTAACAGTAATAGATAACAAGGTCTGAAAGGATTTATAATTTTATCTGACTATACAATTCTAAGATGCTATTAATAATCTCATTAAAGTCAGCGGAGCAGCTTTTGACTACCAATACTTTCAAAAATGGTCCCTGAACATTTCCTTCCACTCTTCAAGTTATAGTATAAAAAGGCATGGGGCTTACATCTAAATCCAAAACTCTCTGAAATAAGAAGAAATATCTATACTACTCCACAGATAAGCCTAGGTCCAAAATGGGTTTCAACCCCTTTAGAATAACCATTCCTTAAACGAACAGAATATGAAAGTTCTACCAAAGAGATGTTGTCAAATAAGTAAGGTAATTGGCAGACAAAATGCTTATGCGTTTTGGACTAAGAATTTGTAGCACTATTATGGGATAACTACAGAAAACATAACGTGCAGTATCTTGAACTAACAGTTTTCTTTTTCAAAGTCTAGCACTGAATTTCAAAGAGAGGCAGATGTACTTTTGTTTTCTAGCATTACATTAGCTAAGGCTAAAACCCTGTGCATGAAAGTAAGAATTGATCTTTTGTCCGTTTTAAGTGATCTCCCCAAGGTCCCAGTGCTCACTTCGCTGCCGTGCAGAGGGCACTCTCTGCATCACGGATGCTCTTGCTCAGTCGACGCTTGTCCTGCTCCAGCTGGGTAAGAAGTCTATTCTGCTGACGCAGAAATCGATCTCTTCTTCTCAGCTCCATCGCTGCCTCGGAGAGACTCTGCAGCAGACAGAAAACAGAGTTACTTGTCAGCCCAAATAATTAACTCCAGTTTATGCCATAGGCTATTAAACAAAGTGGAAAACAGACTGACTGTGTAGTAGATTTGGACCGTTGCATACTAAGGTTTAATGAATTCTCTACCAAAATATTACCAGTTCAGAACCCCCCAGTTTTTAGTATATTGACTGTGTATAAATATATTGATTGTGTATAAATACATTTATAAAATAAAATTATTTTTTGATCAAGCAGGGACATACACTATGCTATAAGTATCATATTTACAAATACCAGGTCTAAACACAAAGGAAATAATCAAGAGTACAGCTTTAAAGAACACAGAATATTCGCAGAACTTAATTTAAAATAAACATTAAAGAAAGGAATTCACAGTGAAAGGGAATAAACACAGAAGCATTTACTTAAATATTCTGCATGGTTCAGAAATTTCAGTAGAATAGATAATCTCATATTCTCTGTTATTGCATCAAGTACAATCTATTTTATGGTGCTTTCACTATTATAACATTAGTTTCCCAATATGCAAAATAGTATGTGTATTTTTTAAACATTTCTCTCTGGCTTAGAATTAACACAACATGCTTTAATCGATTCAGATTAATCCAACAGATGAAAAATAGCACATAGGACTAATTAATACAGAACCTGGCTGGTTGCTATTCCTTTCTGCTGGGATAAATCAATACATTTACAGACTGGAGTATTAATAATTCGATTTCATAATTTGTTACATGTTACATTTTACTTAGAGCTGTTAATTGTCTTTTTAGAAAGAAATTATAATAGGTAGCTATAAACATTCTCTTACACATAGCATATATCCTGATAGATTCTAAAATACAGAAGAGAAGGCTGCACAGTTGCAAGACTGAGTTCTTACACACCTTTTTTTCAAAACATATGGGTATATTTTCTGCTTGAATTCTAAGAATGCTTTGCATAATTTGTACTCAGCATTTGTCCTGGACTGTGGAACATGGAGATGTACTATGCTGTGGATGAGTATGAAGAACACTATATACAAAATGCTGGTAAAAATTTGGAGGGTGCTGAAAACTCAACAAATCTGAAGAACTTTCAGACCTCTTAAAGGGTCAGAGGTGCTCCAAAAAGCATTATGATAGAGGAATTTTCTATAAAATAGCAATCAACAGCAAAGGACTGCATAGTCCTGTAAAATAAACTGTAATCTGTGGACTGGCATAAGTCTTCTTCTTACATTCCTAAAGAGAAAAGGCAACCGGTTACTTAAATGGTGGTGTATTTTGAAGGTACAGCACCATTACTTGAAGTCTTGTTCAGGAATTTACAAAATCTAAGATGAAATTAATCACAACTGTAAGAAAAAAAAATTGAAGTTTATTTAGGAAACTCTAATACCAGCAATGTTAATATTATTCTTGTTCAAATGACTGCAGGTTGAATAATTCTATTTTGACTCTTATGTCCTTATTTTCAATAAACAACTGATATATTTTCCCTAAGGAAAGATAAACACACAGATTGCATTCAACCACTGCACAAGAATATTCAAAACCAGAAGTCATGCTTTCAAAAATTCTACCCTTAAGCCACTGGCAGGTATCAAATTCCTGTCTAAACAGATGACTTTGTCAATTGTCAGATATTCAGAAAATTTATTTCCAAGAACTGAAATGTAGATTAGTATGGAAGTTCAAAAACAAAGAGCATTATCTTCTTCCAATTACTGTGTTTACTGTTTGCTTTCAACATTGAGGAAAGAGTTCTGAAAACCAAGTCAAGTAACACCCCAGCCATATTCCCACCTTTAGAAAATGGACTATATTTGAACACAGAACAAGGTCTCTGTTACCAATGTTTGGTCCAACTCAGTTTCCCACCTGATTGAAAAATCTGGTTTTAACTAGTTTCTGCTAGTATTTTGATGCAAGAAATTTTTTATGCAGATGCTGTTGAATGGATTTTGGCCCCAAGATCCTACCAGTCTAAAAGAGTAGAGAAAGACAGGATAATAGGAACATTATGCATGTTTGTTTTATTTTTATTATAGCTATTCGTCTGCAGGGGTTGAAGAGTTGTCAGCTCCCACATAAATCTTTCATCACAGATCATGAACAGTGAAAAGACCCACTAGTCAAAATCTTCTGTGAGCTGCTAACTAATCTGGATTACTCATTCCAAACATGTGCCTATTAATGAGGGAATAGGGCCTAACTTTTTTAAGGGCCATGGTCAGCGATCTATGCTAACCAATGATGAAGCAGTACAGAAATGGTTAAATCAAGTATCTCACTGAATATTCAAAGAGAACCCCATTATTTACAGAAATCTCTAAAGGATTCAGACTTTATCTAGTAACATTGCAATATCTAAACAAAATAGAAACTGATTCTAGCACTCCAAAAGCAGTTTCAGCAATTACTTGAAGCTTCTTGCTACTGTGGGTTAAAGTCAAGCCTTGGAAACGTTCAAATACAGTGTGGTGTATTATAAAATAATGGCTGGTAAGCCTCTTTTTTTGCTTCTTCAGATTGATCTAATTAAAACCCTTGATAAACTTTATGGACTCTAATATTTCCAGCTGAGTGACTGAAACCAAGAGGGTGTGCCTCAAGGCAGCAAGGCAACAATGATAAGCAGCAGGTTAGCCACTAATTTCTCAGCTAGGGTAGATTGTGAAAGTGTGATGTTCTGATATCCAAGAAAGTGTTCAGGAGAGAATAGGATAAATCAAGTTTAATAACTCTGCTCTTAATTGTTCCCTCAATGCTCCACTCTAATTACTTGGAGAACTCTCCTGACTGTCACCTGATATTAAGTTGTTGGAGGCTGAGTGTGGAGCAGTGAGATAATCAATAAACATTTAGTGGGGAGAAGAATGAAGATCCCGTTAAGCAGTGGGAACCTGCAGCACCCAAAGCCCTTCTGCTCATGAGAAAACCTATGGGAGAGCCATAGTGATTGCAAAGCAATAATCCAAAGCACTGGTTTTAGGCTTTGAGGCCTTTAGGCAACAGTACGTTTGAGAAAAAAAGGTTAACACGGTCATCCTAATTACAGCCCATTTTCACATTCTTCATATATAAGCAAAGACAAGCCAATTAGGTAGAAAGGAAGATAAGGGAAGTTTTATTTGTATACTAATTAAACCCCTGATGAAATTAAAGGAAAAACATACAGCTCTGTAATTGTGTCTGAGAAAGGTCACTTCAGGTTCAGTTATCAGAAAAGCACAGCCTTGAGATATTTCACTTAATCCACAATATAGCCCTTATTTTGCCCCCCAGGTCTTAGTATTTACAAAAATAAGAAAATTTCAAAACCTGATAATGCATTTATCTTGAAATGTTTTCTGTGGACAATTACAACTGTTAGAAAGTTGAGGCTAACTGTGATAAGAAGAATGAGGGTTTTAAAAACCTAGTATGTTTGCACATAGTTCTGTGAAGATGCTGAGCTTTCACTTTCAAGTACAAGTGATTCTGAACCAACTTAGAAGCTAAACTCCAATTTATTAGCATTCTGTAAAATGCCAGTTATCTGTCTTTCTCAGGTTTTTAGGCATTCGGGTGCTAATTCAGACATCACTGCACTCCTTCCTCTTCAGTCTGCCAAAATCTCATAGATCAGCTGAGTTTTCATCAGAATCTTTAGAAGTAGTTTCCTTTAGAGACATTTAGATTTTTTACCTTTTTTTTGCCCCACAAATTAAGCATGAAAAAACATTTGCTGGAGAGAACAGCAAGCAACTGATAGCATTGAAGAAAAATCTCATTGCCTGTCTTGGTTTGGTCCTTCCACAAGCTTCCTTTAACAAGTTTTAAGTTTTGCAGTCAGGAAACTTTTTATTCAAAGCCCATTACAAAAAGAAATCAAAGTTTAGTATTGTCATTCTTTACACATGAAAAGGACTCTATTCAAAAGATAACAGATGGACAATCACTTCAGATGAACAATGACAGCCATACAGTTTAAATTCATGCAAAGCACGTGTGACACATTTATACTGAGACTGTATTTTCCAGGATCAACTAAAGCTAGATCAAACTGCTTAGTAAATTAGATTTAAATTACACAGACACAACACAGCAGTACAAAATATGCAAATACACTGCAGTATGTCTATAATGAACTAATTTGTGAAATTGAAGATTTTCTCTTTCAGATGTTTTATATGTATATTCTCTATTTAGATGCAAAATATTACTTTTAAAAAATACATTCTGAAAGCTGTTCTACACTCACAACTAATAAAATTTCACAATGAAAAATGGTATAGAAAATTTAGCCAGCATCCATTCCTTCAGCAGTTTAAACATACTTCCCATTATCTTTGTTTGCAAACATAATGATCTCTGAGTGCCCACCAGAACTCTACACATAACCAAGAGCAGTTTCAAATGGTTCAAATCCAACAGGTACAACAAGCTACATTAATATTTAATGTTTACCATATTTTTAGTGTCCACTGCTGCAATGCAAACCAAATGCATCAGCTGAAACTATACAGCTGAATTCCACAGGATGTTTTTTGGAAATAATCTTTATTTATCAAGAAGAAATAGAAATTATGCTTCTTCTATCAAAACAGTGGAATAAAAATCTTAGGGAAAAAAAGTTCTGTGACAAAAGAAATTCCTGAGACTTCTCATCAATACTTTAATAAAATCAAACACATCTAAGAAGTACATTGAGACCTATGTCAAGAAATAAGATGGATTTACACTTCTCAAATAGAAACTATCAAGATAATATACCTGGATTCACTGTGTATTTCACAGTGTCTGCAGTAGCATCTCAAAATACTTTGAAATGAACTCCATGTGGATGATCTGCTCTTGCAAAGCAGAAATGAGGCTGACCACCCATGACATCCCTTCAAAAACAAATGCTTTTCTATGCCCTTTAAATTTCACTAGGGAAAAAAAATATGAGTGCTCAAAAGGACACGTGAATGAGATGTATCTGCATTGCAGAAAAAAAACAGTGATTTT